ACTTGAACTTGGGGGCAACGGGGCATGCGAGTGGTCTATATTTGTTGCTAGTGAAAAAAGCAAACTAAAATGAAAATGAACCCCTGTGGAGCCCACCTATCTCGAATGTGTGTGTGTTTCTATTTCTGTTCTTGATTTGTCAGTGCTGTTGTGAATTTCAGTTTTGAGAATTGAACATAGGAAATGGAAGGATTCTTGAGTTTTTTTTTGCTTTTGGGTATATGATTGTTTACAGGGAAAACATTTTCAAAACTTGAAGAAAATACTTTTGAGGTGCAGAGTTCATTCTATCATTTGGCTTTGTGCTGCTAATTAAAATGCTTGAAAATTTCAACACGTTTCTTCAATTAGCAAAATTTTCAAGCACCCTGGCAAATTTTATATTGACAAATTGGAAATAAAAAAAAAATTGCATAACTTGAATTTTCCAGTATAACTCCTTACGGAGTACTACCTTTGACATGTATTTATTTGTTGGAAACTATAATATTCACAAGAGTAATGTTCTAATAGAGCTAGAAGAGTAATGAGATTTATGAGATTTTCCTATTTAATTATTAGATTGTAAATTGTATTAAATAATTAATTTGACTTTTCACAAATCAAAAAAAAATTATTACAATTCAATAATTAAATAATAAGAACTCGTGACTCTTTTTGTCTGATGTCATCTTAGGAATATAATCTTATTCACAAATAATGAAAAATGATTTTTGATTATGGCGTGGTAACAGTTCAAACAAATATTTTAAATCCTGTTGATTCTGATATTACAAAAGGCAATTTGATTATTTGGCGTGGATGGCTAACATTAGGATGTATAAAGGATTTATTCTTGAAACAAATGAACAAATTCTATAGAGATGCACCAAATGATATATACATATATCACCGGTATATATAATTTCTAACCAATTTAATACAGTATTTATTTAAATCTCATTTACAAAGTTGTTATAAAAGGTAAAAATGGAAAGAGTGACAAAAAAAAATAACATCGATATAACTTTAATGAAAAACTTAAATATATTAAAGTGAAATGACATGTAATGAAAAAGATTGGAGACAAAGAATTCATGTGGAGACTTATTCATATATGATTAAGGCAAGAATAATAGTGATGATAGAGGAAGAAACACCATCATGCACCAATTTACTTAACAACCTCCTCCGCCGCCGCCGCCGCCGCCACAGCCACCGCCGCCACCGCCGCCGCCACCGCCACAAGCAGAACCACCGCCACAAGCAGCACCTCCACCTCCACCTCCACCTCCGCCATTCCAACGTGATTTGCCAGAAGAATGACCGCAAGCAAAGATGACCATGGACAGGATTGAGAGAGACATAACAATCATGCACAACAAAAATGTGACCCCAGAACCATGAAGCAAGAGGCCTGCTTCATTCAATGCACTAGCACCACCCAAAGTAATGAAATTTCTCGCCATCTTTCAATCTCTATGGGCTAGCTTGAGTGCATGCATACATATATAGGATTGGTTACTTGTATTGACCGTAACTACTACTTATATTTTGTTTTGATTTTGTCAACTTGACAATTCTTCATAAATCCGCAGCAACTTGCCAAGATGGTCCCCTAGACAATTATGAGATGCTTAGACTCTTCCCTTATCTATATCAGTCCCGTATGGAAGCAAAAATTACTAAAATGGTTTTGGCACATATATGAAATATAATTGACCTATTTGTGAAGGTGTGTTTCCACACACGTAGTATATATTAGTAAATAATACGCGCGCGCACACATACACGTAGTATGTACTTGGTAAAACATATGCATGGGAGTAAAAATATGTGTATAACTGTAAAGTATAAAATATATATATATAAATTTGCATTATTATTTATTATATAAAATAATATTAATTAAAAAAACAAAAAAATTATATATAAAAAAATATTTGCAATATTATTTAATATATAAAATAATATTAATTAAACAAATAAAAAAAACTCATAATAATTAAGTAATTTGTGTTAGAGTTTTATAGACACACTTTTAAAAACTTTTTTTATATTAATAGGTAATTTGTGTTAGAGTTTTATAAAAATTCTTTTAAAAACTCTTTTTATATCAATAATTAAAAAAAAAAAAAAATTGGAGTTTGCTTACTGGTATTCTTATTTTATTTTAGTTAGACTTTATTTATTGGTATCATTTTTTTTTTTTTAGTTGGACAGTTGGACTTTGTTTATTAGTTTTTTTTATTTTAGTTAGACTTTTGGTTATTGATATTTTATTTAAATTATTTTATTAAGTTAATTATAAATCAATAATTTGGAAGCCTTACGCACATGCCAAATGCAAACTGTGATCCACTCTAGCTTTTATTAAATTACAGAGCTTCATGGTGCTGCCAACACCTTTGCCGGGTAACACTGACGGACCCAGAAAATTTTGTGAGGGGGGCGACTTTTTAAATTGTGGGTACAAAATTATATGATGGGTTCATTTTTTGTAATTTTAATAGGTTTTTTTAATAAATTTTAAAAATTTTAAAGTATAAAATGAAAAAAAAAAAAAATCAGTGGGGCAAATTATAATTCTAGTGGGGGCATATTCATAAATTATCAAAATTTGAAATATAAAATGCTAAAAAAAAGAATCCAGTTGGGACGAATTGTAATTTTAGAAAGACATTTCATAAATTTTTAAAAAATTAGGATATAAAATGAAAATATTAAAAATCCAAGGGGGCATCTGCCCCCGGTCACCTGCTGGGTCTGTGCCTGCCGGGTAAGTTGTGGAGTAAGGACTGCGGAAGCGTGACCCCAAGCAGGGATGGACCCAAAAAATTAGGTATGGGTTAGTTATATTTTATAAGTATATAGTTGGAAAAACAAAATTAACAAGGATATATTACTAATATATATATATATATATATATATATATATATATATATATATATATATAAAATATTAATATTAGAGGGGCAATTTATATGTAGGTCGTGTCTAACCCAAAGAAAATTAGTTACACTCAATCACCGGAGTTGAAACTCAAACCTGATTCTCAATGAGGCGAGGTTAAGTGATCTAATCACTTTAGTCATCCTTTGGGATTAAAGGTCGATCTAATTCAACATGACAAAATCACCCTTAAGAAAAATAAAATATACTTTTAAAAGAAAGAAAGAGAACATTTTTAATTAAGTGTTTTAAAAGTTGAGTGCCTCCCTAATGTCATTAAATATTATGATACCACGAAATTCATTTTATACTTACATAAATATAAGTAAATTATTTAATACTATATTTTTCAATATTAAGTATGGTGATTATCTTACTTTATTAGTAAATGCATAAAATTAATTAATCAATAAGGATACGTTCCACACCCTTCCACAACATAAAATTGAAATGTACACTCTTCCACAATATGAAATTGAAATGTACACTCTTCCACAACATGAAATTGAAATGTTAGTATTAGGATTGGAAGAATTGAAAAAAGAAAATTGAATTAATTTTTTTTTTTCTTTCTAATTTTGCCAAATTGTAATTTAAAAGTTACAATTTCATGCAGTGAAATACTTCCTTTATTCAAAAAAAAAAAATTTTTTTTATGCTTTTTTTTTTGGTATATACCAAAATAATTGTCACTTTTCTTTTTCAAATAATATATTTAATATATATTTTCATATATATACTTAAAATATAAAATTTCAAATTTAAATATTCAAAATTTAGAAAGACAAATTAATAACTTTTCAAAGAGACAAGACATATCCAATTCATATTCTGCAAAAGCTACATCTAAATTAGGATAAAGAAATATCAAATCTACTTAAATTTGAAATTATAAAAAATAATTTTTTAAAAAATTATCTAAAAATAATTGTTCATTTTCTTTTTTTAAAATTTTAAAATTTAAACTTAAACGGAGTAACTTGTTTTTCAAAAGCACCGATTCAAATTCATTGGATTCTCCTTCAAGTCTATACTTTCGTTTTGTTATTCTCGTCTTTTATCATGATCCCATCACTTTCATGGTGTCGGTCCATTGTGCCGGCCAGTCGTTGAGTATTTTATTAAAAACTTCGAGGATCAATCTACACGTGTCATCACATGGTTGCTTCTACTTTTAGGTCAAGTCGTCTAATGTGAAAAGACCGCCACGTTAAGAAAAACAATAATCAAAAGAAAATGGCGTTTCACCAAGTTGCATAGCACAATGATTATATTCGTATAACGTACAGTATATGGCGAATAATAGTCAGATGTCACAAACCCTGACCTCAAAGTAAGAGAGAAAAATTACACAGAAAGAGTCTTCTCTTTCCTCTGAACTTTCAGACGAACAACGAAGCCTCTCTCTTTCTTCTTCTCCTCGTTTATCTCTCTCTATACATATAAATATACATATATATCTATATATGCAGAATTTATGCTTTTTTTTTTTTGGTATATACCAAAATAATTGTCACTTTTTTTTTTGAAATAATATATTTTATATATTTTTATATATATATTTAAAATTTAAAATTTAAATATTCAAAATTTAAAAGGGCAAATAACTTTTCAAAGAGACAAGACATATTCGACGTATTCTCTTAAAAATTCCTACTCTGCAAAAGCGACATCTAAATTAGGATAGAGAAACATCAAATCTACTTAAATTTGAAATTATAAAAAATAATTTTTTAAAAATTATCTAAAAATAATTGTTCATTTTCTTTTTTTAAAATTTTAAAATTTAAACTTAAACGAAGTAACTTGTTTTTCAAAAGCACCGATTCAAATTCATTGGATTCTCCTTCAAGTCTATACTTTCGTTTTGTTATTCTCGTCTTTTATCATGATCCCATCACTTTCATGGTGTCGGTCCATTGTGCCGGCCAGTCGTGGAGTATTTTATTAAAAACTTCGAGGATCAATCTACACGTGTCATCACATGGTTGCTTCTACTTTTAGGTCAAGTCGTCTAATGTGAAAAGACCGCCACGTTAAGAAAAACAATAATCAAAAGAAAACGGCGTTTCACCAAGTTGCATAGCACAATGATAATATTCGTATAACGTACAGTATATGGCGAATAATAGTCAGATGTCACAAACCCTGACCTCAAAGTAAGAGAGAGAAATTACACAGAAAGAGTCTTCTCTTTCCTCTGAACTTTCAGACGAACAACGAAGCCTCTCTCTTTCTTCTTCCCCTCGTTTATCTCTCTCTATACATATACATATACATATATATCTATATATGCAGAATTTTGTCTTCAGTATCCGATCTCTATTGTCAGGTAATTTCCTTATCTGTTCTGATGTCCAATCGTTCACATCTAGAGTTCATTTTGTAGGCTATTAAAACTTTGGATCTAACTCCTGCTTTTCTTTTTATAGATATGTATGAACTTTTTAACTGTATTGCTTCTACGATGTGTGCTCATGTGTGCAAAATAGTTTTTTTTTTTTTTTTTTTTTTTTTGTTTTTTTTTGTTTTTTGTTTTTAATAACTGTAAAAATATAAAAATTGTTGTTTTCATCTTATGCTTCCTCTCTCTGTGTGTGTTCTTGTTAGTATTTTTTTTTATAATTATTTTATGTTACTTGAAGAATTTCAATTTTGAAAATTGATCTTAGGAAATAGGAGGATTCTTAGGCTGATTGCTTTTGGATCCGCGCTGATGAGGAAAAAAATAGTTCTATAAAACTTACTATCGGAAGTATTTTCCGTCAAATACAATTGGATTTGGATTGTTAGAGATCTAAATCTGGATCAGTAGGCATGCAAATTGTTACCAATTTGTCATTTTATGATCTCCGTTTATATGTGCGTTGGGAATGAAACATCAGGAAACGTAACATTTTTGTGTGTTGGGCTGATTTATTTTACAATTTGGTGATTGATTCCCATCTTATTTAGCATTTATGGGCATCTCGTCGATCTGTTTTTTTAGCTTTTATGTCATTCAGAAGTTTGTTGGATTATTATCATTATTTGTAGTATTCATGTCCTTTAACCCCTTAGCATCATCATACAGCCACTTGGATATTATTGACACTAATCTACATCTATCCTGTAAAACAGTTCATCAAAACTTGTTTTCATCTACTTTCGTCTTCTACTCGCCCATTTGTTTGTGTTTGTGGAGTACGTTGTTGAGATGGTTTTCAATTTGCTTGAATTTAAGTGCTAATGGTATGTTTGAATATTGCTGGGTACTGAATAATTTTGAATGCAGTTTGTTTATCATTTATCTTACATTGAATATTGCTGGGTACTGAATAATTTTATAGAGCTAACAGATGCCATGTAAATAAATTTTAGTAATTTTGAATGTTCGTTTGAAGAAGACTTGACTATATGGTATTGTATTGTTAAAGGGTGAGACGAATTCTGCGTTTGGAAAATCCTAAAGTCATGCCTATTTCTGGAAATGAAGAGGTATTCATTTAATTTTATAGTTATTGCTAACTTAGTTTAGATAAGTTTAATGATTTTTCTGTTGATATTGATTAATTATTTTTCTGTGGGCAGCCTGGGATCATTGCACGGCAGTCTAGTAATTGTTCTGTAGGTGTTCCAATCAAGAAAAGGTGGTTCCCATTGGTTCAGTTTTCTATTCCCCAACCAACTACTGTCCTTGCAGAAAATGATTCACCACAAAAAGAATATTCTAACCAAAGTCAGGAGCCATCTCTTTCAAATGCCAGTGTTGCAACAACATCTCATAGCGTATCTGATGCAAACAAGACTCTTGTGAACAAGACTTTTTCTTCTGTTGAAGATAAGGAAGGTTCTGATGATACAAATGCTAATTCAGTCCAAAACAATGTTCATCTTCGTGCAGTCAAACTTGAGGAACCAAACCTTAAAATTTGCTCAGGCCGTATGGATAACATGGGCAGCGAAGAGAAGCTTATGTTCGCTGATAGATCTGCCTGTCAGAAAGTTCCAAGAAATACTGAACTGCATTTAGCAGGTAGTGAATCTCATGCACTCAACACTAGGGAAGGAATATTTGGCAAACAAGAAGCAGAAGGGTATTCTAAATTTGAAATTTCAGCTTTTCCAGGGAATATTGAATTGTCACTAGGGCTGAAGGAACCTCTTGTTCCAGCTTTGGCAGTTCAAAGTAGTGATGGGAGTTTCCAGGTATCAGAGAAATCAGATCTTGCTTCGCTGTGTTTGTCTTTAAGCAAGGAAAAACCCATTACCCAATGCAAAAGTGATGATAACTCAAATAATGGTAGCTCTCACCTTCATGCTAATAGATCGAAGTGGGATTTGAACACGACAATGGACACGTGGGAGGGTTCTGTTGATGATGCCACTGCATGTCTTGGAACAATTGCTTTTGATAGGTTAAATGACACTGGTAATGCACATGATATAAAGAGTTCTTCTTGCTCAATTGGGATGGTTGGAGGTGGCGTTGATTTGGGAAAACAGATTCTTGGAGCACGTGATCACATTTCCCAATTTCCCATCTCCACCTTAACACCCAGTGAGCTATATAAATCTGAGGATTCCCTGCATGTAGGTCTTAGCATGTCTTGTTTTCAGTCGAACTTCAGCGTAGAACACTCTAGTCCCTCAGCTAAAGTTGATTTAGGTAAGGTTGTTCCTAGTTCCGATTTGCTTGGAGGGTTGGTATCATCTAGAAAAGTGAATTCTGTTGGTAGTAGAACTGTAAAATCAGAACCAATCGAGGAGAATGCTAAACATAATTTTGTGGGAGAGAATGATATTCCTATGGGATTATTTGATGTTAGAACTCTAAAACGGGAATTAGTTGAGAGGTGTAATCTGGAAGCTGTCAATTTGTTGAACCCGGAAACCAGTAAACATAGATCAATAAAATCTGAACCAGTTCAGGAGGGTAATCAGGAAATACGCAGAACTGTTGAAAGGACGTCATGCCAATCAGATGGAAAGGTTGACACGGAGATGCTTTTAACCCCTCGAAAGTTATGCTCTTCAGTGTTACACAGTTGTTCAACAGAGCTAACTATAAGTGGGGATGTATTAAGCCAATCCGAATATTCTACTCGTATCAAAGAAGTCAAATCCCAGGAAGAATGTAGAAGTAGTGATGTTGTTTCAGAAATGGTTTCTGTGTCCGTGGGCCCTGAATGTAAAGAATCAAACGTATCTGATGGTATGGCAGATGCTAACAGAGCAGAAGATTTGAATTTTGATGATCCTGAGACATGCAGATTGAAATCGATGGATGACCTTCCGCTAGCTTCAAGTGGAAATGGTGAGGGATCTGTAAGTGATGAGGAAAAAATTAACATATCTGCTGATATGCTAGAAGAAGATTCTTATGCTTCTGACTATGAGTCAGATGGTTATCATACCTTAGTCGCTCCCTTGGGTACAGAAGATGGACAATATGCTGGAGTAGATGATGAATATGAGGATGGTGAGGTCCGAGAACCACTAGTGCACAGGGAAATTGAATGTCCTATTGGTAGTGTGATGAAAGAGGCAGGTGATGTTACACATGGTGATTGTGGTGACAAAAATGTGTGCTTGTTTGGTTCACCTGGCGATAGTAGTGTTGTTAAATCCTGTACTGTAGAAAAGGACAGTCAAAAGAAGTATCATGGTGAAACAAGTGCTGATCATATTAAAGAATGTGTTGATATAGTTCTTCGTGAGAAAACTGATCGGGTTGTAGATAAAGATGGCTTTCTGCAAGATTCATCAACCATTGAAATGGTTTCATCTGAAGCTGATGAAAAGAGGCCTATAAATACCATTCAATGGAATCCACTTCATCAATTGGGAGACATGGAAGTCCAAAAGGTCCTCGAAAGACAACCATCAACTGATGGAGCCACTAATAGAAGCCAAGAGACTCTGAGAGCAGCTGGTCAGGCTGCAGATGGGAATATTGAAAGAATAGCCACGGAGGGAAAAGATGATTCCACTTTGGCCAAGACTGAATCATCTCCAATTGGGGACGATGCTGCTAAAGATTCCAACAGTGGAGGTAACAGGAGTCGAATTATAAAGTTACCCCGAGCTTCTATTGTTTCATCTCCTGTTGAAACAAGTTCTATCCCAGTCGGGTCATTCCCCTCGCAAGCTGAAAGAGAAAGATATACTGGTTTTGAGAGAGAAAGATTACATGCACGGCAATATAGGTGACCATACCTTGTCTAATTGGTTATTTGTTTCTGTAGTTTCCCTCCTGTTTTAAGTGCTTGCTAGACTTAACTATTTTGATGTATATATATATGTATATTTTTTCCTTCCTTTCAATTTTCAGAGATGAAATGTATTTAGATGGCCCCCCTAGATTTGTTAGAGGGAGGTTTCAGGATCAGCCACAAAGAAACTTCAGATCAAGCTTCATGCGTGGAAGAGGAAGGAGTTCCAGCCGTTTAGACTCTATGCGTGGTGATTGGGATAATGACAGTGAGTTTGCTTCAGAAAAATTTAATGGTTCCGTCAATTATCGATTCGCAAGACGCAAACCCGCTGGTGCAGATGCAGAGCTTGAATGTAATGATTATATTTTTGCACCGGATGGTGCTATTGTAGGTACTGACAGGGCAGGAAGGAAACCTTATAATGATGAATTTCCTTCATTTCATCATCCATCCTCAAGGAGGAGATCTCCTGCAGGTAGAGATGGAGGTGCAAGACATGGCATTCAAATGGTTCGTAGAATGCCAAGAAATATTAATATGACCAGATGTGTTGGTGAGGATGGTTCTGATTTGGCTGGGATCAAGCATGGCGAGAAGTTCTTGAGGGGTTTGCCCAATGATATTTTAGATCCAGTATTTTCTCATCGTCAACCTCCTTACGAGGGAGCTGATGGTCAGTTTGTCAGAGGGAGCAGGAATTTTTCTTCTATCCCAAGAAGGGGTGTTCCTCGAATTCGATCAAAATCTCCAATAAGATCCAGAATGGATTCCTCTGGAACGTGGTTGTCTCCTCGAAGAAGATCTCCAGATGGACTTGATGGACTTCCAGAAATTACTAATAGTAGATCTCCAGCTATTTACAGGATTGAGAGAATGAGATCCCCTGATCACCATTTTTTCCCTGAAGATATAGTGGCAAGAAGACATGGTTCTCCTCCTTATATGTCTCGGCCGTCTAATAATTTGAGGGACATGGATACTGTGAGGGAGCATGGTCATCCAAGATCCATTATCCCCAATAGGAGCCCGTCTGACCGGGTTTTACCTCGAAGCACTAGGAGATTAGATATCTTAGATACTCGAGAGAGGGCAGATAAGGATGCCTACTTTGGAAGGCCTATGCAGTCTGGCAGACTTCATGAACTTGGCTGTGATGGAAGTGGTGATGAGATAAGAGTGCGTGGTGTTAGACATGGACCTGTTCGTTCTTTTAGGCCACCTTATAGGGATGCTGATGGTGAGAATTTCAGTTATCCCATTGAGGATGGCCCTAGGCCTTTTAGATTCTGTCCAGAAGCTGATTCAGAATTCATTGAAAGAAGCAACTTGAGGGAAAGGGTGTCTGACAGGCGGATTGAAAGTCGACCTATAAACACACCTAGGAGAATGAGAATAATTGAAGAGCAAGAAGGAAACTATAGGCCCGGTGGTCAGATCTGGCATGACAATGGGTTTGATGATGGCTCCCGTGGGAAAAGAAGAAGATTTTGATAGACCTTGGGGAATGAGAAGCATTGAAGAGCAAGAAGGAAACAATAGTCATGGTGGGCAGGTCTGGCATGACAATGGGTTTGATGATGCCTCCCGTGGGAAGCTTTATTTTTCTGTGTCCATGATCTAGAAAAGGATTTGTTGTTTTGTTGGGGGATGGCAAGTTACTGTTTTGCATACAGTTTGGTTATGTGCCAGGTTTAGGGAATGCTTTGATTTCATGGGGTAGGTGACTAGCAGGTACAATTCGTTTTGGTTGTTTATGCACTGATTATGGTTTATTTTGTCTCAGATCCTGAACAAGGTAATGTTTGGAGATATATGAGTAACAAATACCTGATACTGGCTTGTTCTGAGGGTATTCACATTGTTACATACATGTGACATCACTTGGTAATATGCAGCCAACACTTAAATAGTCCTTGGAGGTGGAGTACATAATGTATTTCTCAGCATAACTCGGTAGCCAAGTCTTCCTGAAAGCCTTGTTACATTAATGGTTACCATTTCGCCTAATCATGGGTGCTAGCTGCAGCGACTCAGTTTAATTTGAACAAGTTCTGTACTATATGTTATATTATGTTTGGCACAATAATATTGGATCCAGTCTGTTCTTGTAGATACTTGATCGAAGATCCTTCAATAAGCTTTTCGTAAGTATGTGTAGCTTCATCTGATGGTATTGATGTACTTTGGGGGGATGGAATAGGTATGCAGCAAAGGGACATTTGAATTCCGAACTATTTCGGCCAGTTATCAAGAGATCATCAATTGTTGCAGTAGGCTTATGTGTGTTCTAGTTCTTGCTTCCTTGCATTTCCCTTCTCGTATTAAACTAGTCCATGTTGTGATACCGGTAAGTAGCTCTATGCACCCAGAAATATTAGGGGTGAGTATCATTTCTTACATTGGAGGGAGATGGTTTGAACATTGTTGCTTTATGCTTCATCTCTGTAGGAAGAACAGTTTGTTACTTTTTTCAGACCAGAGTAGTTGTAGCTCTTTTTTCCCTGTGTAGTTTCTGAGATCTGCAGCTGCGAAGGTGATGACTGAAATGGCTGGAATTGATTTTTTTATGAAGCTTTCTCCTTCTTAAGGTTTTGAAAATAGGAGATTGGGTGAAAATTTGATGGACCCCTGTGACGTATGTTGCTGTGTGGCCTGAATATCTCATTTACTGGAATGATACTGTTCTTCAACGCGGTAAGTGTTGAGTTGATGGTAAAATTGGATTGGAATATAGCCCTAGTTGGGAGATAGGAAGATTTGTGTGCCGTCGAACTTTTGAGTGCTTTAAAGGGTGGATTGCTCTCAAAAGCAGGAATAATTTTCCTGGATGGCAATCCATGAAGGGTTCTCACCCGAAAGAACGGGGAAAGAAAGGGGGGTAGTGTCCCATCCAGCTGCTGGAATAATCTCTCGGACCAAAATTCTCTCCATTGAACTGACGACATTGGAGTTTACCTCACAGTGAGTCCCGACTACTGTTGGGGTTATTTTTACCGTAGTGCAGTGCACTAAAGCCAAGCCAAGCCAAGCCAAAGCAACGGCAGGATTCAACGTTTATATAATAAATTTAGAAATAAAAATAATGAGATACACTGCAGGTTTAAGTTTTCCAAATGAATGGAATTCATCGGCCAAATCTAAAGCTTTGCTCCATTTTTGAATGAAGTCAGGGATGTATAGGTTTGTGATATCAACTGTGACTGGTAATATTAGGGGGGTGAATTTCAACATTGCATTATGCTTGGTTTCTGTTAGATAAACAGGTTTGTGATGACTGAAAAGGCTAAATTTAATTTGATTATGAAGTTTTCGTCTGTTTAACATTTCCCAACTCGGAGATTGTGATGAAATTTGATCTCTCCTCTGATATGAGCTTCCATCTCCGGCAGTTGGCCGGAATCTCTTTTATTCCCCTTCATGTCACTGTCGTCCAATGTGTTCATGAGTCATGGCAGCCAGACTGGGGACCCCTTTGAGATACTTTAATGGGTGGGTTGCTAGTTGCTTTCTATGCACGAATGGTAGTAGCTGTGGACAGCAAGATTCAAATAGTTTATTTATTGTATTTTTTATTTTTTAATTGACAATGTGAAACTGAAACGAATTAACCCAAGGAAACAACAGCTATACAATGGAAACATTGAAACCAGGACTTTCTTGTCTTATCTTTTATAAAAGAATAACAAATATAAAAAAGTGGCCAGCTGTGTACCGCAATCCATCATTTCACACATGAAATGGACAAAAAAGATGTATGTCCAAATTTTCTTCTCCTCATTTGTCCATTTATTTTTATTTTAAAATTTTTTACTCATGCATTGTGAGTCTACCATATTAATTATTTCCACTGGTTGACTTAATGAAACAGTTCCTTTTTTTTTTTTTTTTTCGGAAAATTTGGGTTATTTTATAGTGAGTTCCGCTTGGCTTGTGTAGTTTGAGAGATTGGGTTTCAACTAGTAAAATATCAGAACATGTTTAAATTATTGGTTATAACGATTGTGGTACTCCATGGTAGGTAGTGCAGTTTTGATAAATTTAAAAAAATTATATACTAATTTTTTATTAAAAAAAAGTATTAAAACACCTTTTTGAAATATGTATGAAATAATAAATTTTCCCTTTTCTTTTTAATGTATTTTAAATTAAAATATTTCAAATGTATAAGGACGAAAATATCCCCATTAATTATTCAATAACACCCCCCACCGGCTCACCCTCACTCATACTTTATCTCTCTCTATCTTCAGATGCGGCCACCCAGGCTCCCACCACCACACTACCATTACCATTACATTATCAATAATCTATTTCAAATGAGAGTCTGTGATAGAAAAAGAGAGACACAAACAAACAAAAGAAATATACTCTTTATATAAATATATACACACACAAGCACAAATCACTCCAAATTTTTAATCATCATATCTATTTTGTTCTTTAATAAAATTCATTTATAAAAAAAAAAAAACAAAATCGTCAACTCAGTTTGAATTTTGCAGTGGTTTTTTTTTTAAAAAAAAGGTTTGAATTTTGCAGTGATTTGGGTGTATTCTTTTGCAATGTGTCTCATTCATTTGGCCGTAATACTATATAAAGCAAATGAAATACGTTATTGAAGTTCAATAATCAAGAGATTTCATGCATTATATATGAACAAACTTTTTGTTCATACAAATATAATACATTATGCAAGTTCAGAGGTTAAAAATCATTACAATACAATCCAAAAAAAAAAAAAAAAAAAATGTATGCCTGTCGTGAATCAAGTAATTTGCTTAATCTCTAAATTAATTGTTCTTATATTTTGAATCTTCAAAACAAACATTTTTATACATTTTGTATCGATCTCTAAAAATAAAAATTTAACATAAGAAAATAAAAAACATTTTTCTCAAAATAGGAAAAATCTACAACATACCCAAAATCTAAATATGCGTAGACGATTCTTTTTCCCATGGCATATTTGATCATACAGAGCAAAATATAATTAAAAAAATTACATTGAAGCAATAATTAGTGGGATTTTTGTGAGATAATCAGATTTAGAGCCAGTCCATTTCCTAGAACCCAACACCACCATCGCCAGTTGCACAAGAAACCCACGCACGACTGCCTGTTGCAAGCCTACGACAATGACGCTGGCGACATTGAACATGAATTTGATGTGCTTGGCCTCAAACAGGCCTCCCAACGACCACCCAAAAAAAAAAAAATTTTTTTGTTAGCCCATTCAAAATTGGAGTCCTTCAAAACTTGGTGATTAAATTCGAAATTGAATATGATTCTTTACTAATTAATTTTGAAATAAAATGCAGTCTTTTACTAATTTTATGTGTTAATATGTATGCTTGTCACTAATTACTTTGAAATTGAATGCAGTTCTTTATTATTGGGTTGATAATATATTTTTGATGAAATTTGAATAAATATAAATTAGTTCTGTATTACTTATATAATTGATTTGATATAAAGGGGGAAATGCTTGGTCTAAGTTTGAAATCATTTGAAGTTGATAAGAACTTTGGCAAAATTTTACATTTTTTTTAGAAATTTAAAATGGGTTGAAAGTTCAAAACTTGATCTATTTGAAAACTTGAAAATCTTTTTTGAGTTTAAATTAACGTGATGTCATTCTAATTCTTTAGTTCACTTATCTCATAAGGAGTGTATTAAGCATTTGTTAAGAAAATATATATTTTTTACTTTATTACGAGGGATGACAGATGTAAAATTTGAGAGAAACTAATTGTCCGTAATTTGTTTTTGTGTTTTCAAAATTAATATATTTTATGTGATTATTTTCTCATTTTAATAAAAATTTCGCACCCTTATAAAATTTTTACGCGTGTGTATGATTATGTATGTAGATGCCTTGATAGCTCAGTGGGTTAGTGCCTCGGTGAATTTTAGAGTGTAAGACTTTGACTTTCTGCATTTACTAATCTAACTTGTAACACTTCTTGCCTCGTAGTAAAAATAAAAATAATAATAATGCTTGTGTATAAAAGGTCTCACATTTAAATTTGCTAGGGTCTCTCAAGATTTTATCAATCTCAAGGCCGGCCATGGACAACACCAACGGACTTTTGATGGTCTTTGCAGAACCGTCATCATCTTCCATCACCGATGAGAGGGCCGTGGAACGACATCATCAAGTTGCAATATTCCGGTCACAGAACAAACTAAGCACAACAATCTTAACACCATCGATGGGAAAGATAAAAAATCGATGCCACATTAGGAAAGTGATCAAGGAATAAGGATGGAGGAATATCTAATGGGTGGTGATTGGTGAAGGCGTTGGGCTTATGTGATCTTGAAACATGGATTATGAAGGTCTTGGATGGTTTGATGAATCAATTTATTTGAAAAATGCAGAGTTTACTGTAGGTATATTGGTCTTTTAGATAATTTTTTTAGGGTTAAAAGGAGTTTTGACAAAGTCAAATGGATAATAATGTCATTTTACATTTAAATGTTTGTAATGTGAGCGATAGTAATTTTCGAAAGGTGTTTCATTGTGATATTTGGCCTGAGGGGTGCCAGTAAAATTAACCCTTGCTATTATGAACTTTTTATATTTAATATAAACCTACCAAGCTAGTGGATGAATCTCAGCCCATAAACATGACCCAAATAATGATCTCTTGGGAATGTTAATTCGTGTTTACGGGAGTCATAATCGTATCATGCCGACCTTAGGTAAACCTAAACATGACCCATTTAATAATCGTGTTATGAACCTTCAACACTAACTTGACCAGTTTCTTAAACGTGTTACGTGCATTAATCTGTTTAATGACCTATTTATCAAAATGATATATTTAATTCTCAATCAAATAATAAATACTAAAAAAAAAAAAAAAAATGTCTCAATTAACCTAAATATTCAAATTAAGAAAAAAATAAATAAATGTTCAAGTAAAAATCATAAGGCATATTCACAATTTATATTGAAATGAATTAATTGTCCCTAGTAATTGACTATAAATATGTAGCAAGTTATTTGGGTCATATTCACGATTATGACATATTGAGTTAAATGTGTATAAACGGGTTACATAGGTTGAGGAGTTTAACCTTAATACGACTGTATCAACCCATTTATTACCAAACCCGTTTAAGATTAACCAAAACTCACTTATTTCGTATCGTGTTGTCACTCTTAATCCCTAGTGAGTATTTTAAGGTTTGAAGGTGAGGGCATTTTGGCCCGTGTATAGCAATTAGGTTGAAATAATTTTGAGCTCCCGCCTTAAATTACATATGAGTTTGGGAGTTCAAATCACTTTGGTTTGCTACACATGTTGCTGGTGAAGAATTATTATTGCTTGCTTTAAAGCATTCAACACTACCATTTTTCACAATTTCTTTTGGGTTATGACAAAAAATTAAATAAATTATTAAAATATCTTTCCATATTAAATATGGTGATAGCCTTACCCTACCGGTAAATGAATAAAACTATTTCATTAATAAGGAATTTTGAGTTAATTTGCTGCTAATCCAAATTCTTCGGATTGGTTAAAAAAAAAAAAAAAAAAAAAAAATTCTTTTTTAAGTTTAAAATTATTATATACTTTTGTTTTGGCCTTCTCTTCTTTTTCATATCCCATCACTTTCATGGTGGAACTAGGAAGGTCGGTCCAATAGTGCCGGCAAGTAGTTGAGCATTTTATCACAAACTTGGAGGATCAATGTACACGTGTAATCACATGGTTGCTTCTAATTCTAGGTCCAAGTTTGAAAACGCGTTTCGAAGTAGCATAATCTCCAAGTCAGATCTCAGAAACCCTTATCTCCAAGGCAGAGAGAGAAATTACGCAGAAAAAGTCTTCTCTTTCCTCTCACACCCTTGCAGAAGAACCAATCCTTTCTCTTTCTTCTTTCTCTGTCTACACACACACCCACACACACCCACACACACATATATAGATATTTTGTCTACAGTATCCGATCTCTATTGTCAGGTAATTTCCTGATCTGTTCTGATGCCCAATCGTTGACATCTAGAGTTCATTTTTTGGGCTATTCGAACTTTGGATCTAACGGTTTTTTTTTTCTTCTGCTTTTCTTTTTATAGATATGTATGAACTGTATTGCTTCTACTATGTGTGTTCATATATGTGTGCAAAATTGTTTTTTCAGTTACTAAAAAAAAATATGAAAATTGTTGTTTTCATCTTATGCTTCATCTCTCTATGAGTGTGTATATATACATTTCTATGCTTATATATCACTCTCTGTCTTTTGTAAGTACTTTTACGTGTAGAATTTCAATTTTGAAAATTGATCTTAGGAAAAGGTAGGATTCTTAGGCTAATTGCTTTTGGATCCGATTGATTTATTTCTTGGCAACACTTTCCCAAACTAAAGAAAATATTTTTCAGATGCAAAAGTAATTCTTGGTTCTTTTTACCTATTTCGCAGCAAATTGAAGAAGTATGTTGAAATTCTCAAGTTTCTTGCAAAATTTTTGTAGGTAGAAATTATCTGGAGTAGTTCTTTAAAACGTGTGAGTGTAAGTATTTTCCGTCAAATACAATTGGATCGTTAGGAATCTAAATCTGGATCAGTTGACATGCAAATTATTACCAATTTGTCATTTTATGATCTCCGTTTATACGTGGTTTGGGATTGACACATCAGGAACATAACATTTCTGTAGACTACATGCTGGCTGATCTACAATTTGGTGATTGATTCCCATCATGTTTAGCATTCGTGGACATCTCCTAGATCTGTTTTTTTAGCTTTAATGTCTAGTATGAGTTCATTCAGAAGTTTGTTGGGTTAGTATCATTATTTGTAAGTATTCATGTCCTCCCTTTAGCATCATCATACAACCACTGGGATATTATTGATAGTGAAATTCTGTTATATTGTTAGTTGTACAACGGACAATCTACATCTATCCTGCAAAGGAGTTCATCAAAACTTGTTTTCATTTACTTTCCCCATCTACGCGGCCCATTTGTTTGTGTGTGTGGAGTGTGTTGTTAAGATGGTTTTCAATTTGCTTGAATTTAAATGCTAATGGTATGTACGACTTGGTATTTCTTGATGCTAATGGTCTTTCTTGATGCAGTGTGTTTATCTTACTGTATAATTTTATAGAGTTAATAGATGCCGTGCAAAGTGATTAATTTTGAATGGGTGTTCGAAAAAGACTTGACTATATGTTATTACTTCTTTTAAAGGCTAAGACAAGTTCTGCATTTGGCAAATCCTAAAGTTCTGCATTTGGCAAATCCTAAAGTCATGCCTATTTCAGGAAATGAAGAGGTATTTATTTCATTTTATAGTTATTGCTAACTTAGTTTAGATAAGTTTAATGATTTTTCTATTGATATTGATTAATTATTTTTCTGTGGGCAGCCTGAGGCCATTGCGCGGCAGTCTAGTAATTGTTCTGTAGGAGTTCCAATCAAGAAAAGGAGGTTCCCATTGGTTCAGTTTTCTTCGCCTCCATCCCGAGAACCATCTTCTGTCCTTGCAGAAAATGATTCACCACAAAAAGAACACTCTAACCAAAGTCAGGAGCCATCTCTTTCAAGTGCCAGTGTTGCAACAAGTTCTCCTAGCGTATCTGATGCGAACAAGACTGTTGTGAAAAAGACTTCTTCTGTTGAAGATAAGGAAGGTCCTGATGATACAAATGCTAATTCGCTAAAAAAAAATGTTCATCTTTGTGCAGTCAAACTTGAGGAACCAAACCTTAAAATTAGCTCAGGCCATATGGATAGCATGGGTAGCGAAGAGAAGCTTATGTTCACTGATAGATCTGCCTGTCAGAAAATTCCAAGAAATACTGAACTGTATTTAGCTTGTAGTGAAACTCATGCACACAACACAATGGAAGGAATACTTGGCAAACAAGAAGTAGAAGGGTATTCTAAATTTGAAAGTTCAGCTTTTCCAGGGAATATTGAATTGTCACTAGGGCTGAAGGAACCTCTTGTTCCAGCTTTGGCAGTTCAAAGTAGTGATGGGAGTTTCCAGGTATCTGAGAAATCAGATCCTTCTTCGCTATGTTTGTCTTTAAGCAAGGAAAAACCCATTTCCCAATGCAAGAGTGATGATAACTCAAATCCTAGTAGCTCTCACCTTCATGCTATTAGATCGAACTGGGATTTGAACACGACCATGGACACATGGGAGGGTTCTGTTGATGGTGCCACCACATGCCATGGAACAATTGGTTTTGATCGGTTAAATGACACTGGTAGTGCACTTGATATAAAGAGTTTTTCAGGTTCAACCAGGATGGTTGGAGGTGGTGTTGATTTAGGAAAACAGATTCTTGGAGCGCGGAAGCACATTTTCCAATTTCCCATTTCCACCCCAACACCCAGTGAGCTATATAAATCTGAGGATTCCCTGCATGTAGGCCTTAGCATGTCTTGTCAGTCGAACTTCAGTGTAGAACATTCTAGCCCCTCAACTAAAGTTGGTTTAGGTAAGGTTGTTCCTAGTTCCGATTTGCTTGGAGGATTGGTATCATCTGGAAAAGTGAATTCTGTTGGTAGTAGGATTGTAAAATCAGAACCAATCGAGGAGAACGGTAAACATAATTTTGTGAGAAAGAATGATAGTGGTAAACATAATTTTGTGAGAGGGAATGATAGTCCTATGCGATTATTTGACGTTAGAAGTCTAAAGCGGGAATTAGTTGAGAGGTGTAATCTGGAAGCTGTCAATTTGTTGAACCTGAAAACCGGTAAACATAGATCAATAAAATCTGAACCAGTTCAGGAGGGTAATCTGGAAATAAGCAAAACAGCTGAAAGGACATCATGCCAATCGGGTGGAATGGTTAACATGGAGATGCTTTTAACTCCTCAAAAGTTATGCTCTTCGGTGTTACGCAGTTGTTCAACAGAGTTAACTATAAGTGGGGATGTATTAAACCAATCCCAATATTCTACTTATACAAAAGAAGTCAAATCCCAGGAAGAATGTGGAAGTAGTGATGTTTCAGAAATGGTTTCTGTTTCTTTGGGCCTTGAATGTAAAGAATCAAATGTATCTGTTGGTATGACAGATGCTAACAGAGCAGAGTATTTGAATTTTGATGATCCCGGGACTTGCAGATTGAAATCGATGGATGAGCTTCCGCTGGCTTCAAGTGGAAATGGTGAGGGATCTGTAAGTGATGAGGAAAAAATTAACGTATCTGCTGATATGTTAGAAGAAGATTATTATGCTTCCGACTATGAGTCAGATGGTTATGATACCTTAGTCGCTCCCTTGGGTACAGAAGATAGACAATATGCTGGAGTAGATGATGAATACGAGGATGGTGAGGTCAGAGATCCACTAGTGCACAAGGCAATTGGATGTCCTTTTGGTGGTGGTGAGAAGAAAGAGGCAGATGATGTTACACTTGGTGATTGTGGTAACAAAGATGTGTGCTCCTTTGGTTCACCTAGTGGTAGTAGTGTTGTTCAATCATGTGCTACAGAAAAAGACAGTGAAATGAAGTATCATGGTGAAACAAGTGCTGATCATATTAAAGAATGTGTTGATATAGTTCTTAGTGAGAAAACTGATCGGGTTGTAGATACAGATGGCTTTCTGCAAGATTCATCAACCATTGAAGTGGTCGCATCTGAAGCTGATGAAAAGAGTCCTATAAATACCATTCAAAGGAAACCACTCGATCAATCAGGAAACATGGAAGTCCAAAAGGTACTCGAAAGGCGACCATCAACTGATGGAGCCACTGATAGAAGCCAAGAGACTTTGAGAGCAGTTGGTCAGGCTGCAGATGGGAATATTGAAAGACCAGTCACAGAGGGAAAAGATGATTCCACTTTGCACAAGACTGAATCATCTCAAATTGGGGACGATGCCGCTAAAGATTCCAACAGTGGAGGTAACAGGAGTCGAATTATAAAGTTACCCCGAGCTTCTAATGTTTCATCTCCTGTTAAAACAAGTTCTATCCCAGTCAGGTCATTCCCCTCACAAACTGAAAGAGAAAGATATACTGGATTTCAGAGAGAGAGAGTACACGGATGGCAAAATAGGTGACTATATCCTGCCTAATTGGTTACTTGTTTCTGTAGTTTCTCTCCTGTTTAAGTGCTTGGTGGACTTAACTATTGTGATTTTTTTTGTTTTTCTTCCTTTCAATTTTCAGAGATGAAATGTATTTGGATGGTCACCGTGGATTTGTAAGAGGGAGGGGTCAAGATCAGCCACAAAGAAACTTCCGATCAAACTTCATGCGTGGAAGAGGAAGGAGTTCTAACCGTTTTGACAGTCTGCGTGGTGATTGGGATAATGACAGTGAGTTTGCTTCAGAAAATTTTAATGGTTCCGTTAATTATCGATTCCCAAGACGTAAACACGCTTCTGCTGGTGCAGATGCAGAACTTGAATGTAATGGTTATATTTTTGAACCGGATGGTGCTATTGTAGGTACTGACAGGGGAGGAAGGAAACCTTATAATGATGAATTTCCTTCATTTCATCATCCATCATCAAGGAGGCGATCTCCTGCAGGTAGAGATGGAGGTGCAAGACATGGCATTCAAATGATTCGTAGAATGCCAAGAATTATTAATATGACCAGATGCGTTGGTGAGGATGGTTCTGATTTGGCTGTGATCAAGCATGGTGAGAAGTTCTTGAGGGGTTTGCCCAATGATATTTTGGATCCAGTATTTTCTCATCCTCAACCTCCTTACGAGGGAGCTGATGGTCAGTTTGTTAGGGGGAACAGGAATTTTTCTTCTATTCCAAGAAGGGGTGTTCCTCGAATTCGATCAAAATCTCCTATAAGACCCAGAACGGATTCCTCTGGAACGTGGTTGTCTCCTCGAAGAAGATCTCCAGATGGACTTGATGTCCTTCCAGAAATGACTAATAGGAGATCTCCAGCTATTTACAGGATTGAGAGAATGAGATCCCCTGATCACCATTTTTTCCCTGAAGAAATAGTGGCAAGAAGGCATGGTTCTCCTCCTTATATGTCTCGGCCGTCTAATAATTTGAGGGACATGGATACTATGAGGGAGCATGGTCATCCAAGATCCATTATCCCCAATAGGAGCCCATCTGACCGGGTTTTACCTCGAAGCACTAGGAGGTTAGATATCTTAGATACTCGAGAGCGAGCAGATAAGGATGCCTACTTTGGAAGGCCTATGCAGTCCGGCAGACTTCATGAACTTGGCTGTGATGGAAGCGGTGATGAGATAAGAGTGCGTGGTGTTAGACGTGGACCTGTTCGTTCTTTTAGGCCACCTTATAGGGACGCTGATGGTGAGAATTTCAGTTATCCCATTGAGGATGGCCCTAGGCCTTTTAGATTCTGTCCAGAAGCTGATTCAGAATTCATTGAAAGAAGCAACTTGAGGGAAAGGGTGTCTGACAGGCGGATTGAAGGTCGACCTATAAACACACCTAGGAGAATGAGAACAATTGAAGAGCAAGAAGGAAACTATAGGCCTGGTGGGCAGGTCTGGCATGACAATGGGTTTGATGATACCTCTCGTGGGAAAAGAAGAAGATTTTGACAGACCTAGGGGAATGAGAAGCAGTGAAGATCAAGGAAACTATATTCATGGTTGGCAAGTCTGGCTTGGCAATGGGTTTGATGATGACTCCCGTGGGTTCATGATGTAGAAACAGGATTTGTCGTTTTGTTGGGGGGATGGCAAGTTGCTTTTTAGCATACAGTTCGGTTATTTGCCAGGATTAGGGATGTTTGATTTCATGGGATAGGTGACTAGCAGGCAGGAATCGTTTTGGTCTCAGATCCTGATCAAGGTAATGTTTGGAGATATTAGAGTAACAAATACCTTATACTGGCTTGTTTCGAGGGTATTTATACTCTTGCATACATGAGACATCACTTGGTATTATGCGGCCAACACTTGAGCAGTCCTTGGAGGTGGAGTACATGACATATTTCTCAGCATAACTCGGTAGTCAAGTCCTTCCTAAAATCCGTATTACATTAATGGTTTCCTTTTCACCTAAAATCATGGGTTATAGCTGCAGCGACCCGGTTTAATTTGTGCATGTTCTGTACTATATATTATATTATGTTTGGCACAATAATATTGGATCCAGTCTGTTCTTGTAGATAACTGTTTGGAGATCCTTCAATAAGCTTTTCGCAAGTATTTGTAGCTTCATGTGATGGTATTGATGCTTTGGGGGGATTGAATAGGCATGCAGCAAAGCGGCATTTGAATTCTGAACTATTACTAACAAAGTCCATATTGTGATACTGGTAAGTAGCTCTATGCACCCAGAAATATTGAGGTGAGTAATCATTTCTTAAATTGGAGGGAGATGGTTTGAACATTGCACTATGTTTGGTCTCTGTAGGAAGAACAGTTTTGTTACTTTTTTCAGACCACCCCCCCCTCTATTTCTGAGATCCGCAGCTGCTAAGGTGATGACTGAAATGGCTGGAATTGTTTTCTCTTGATTAAGATTTTGAAAATAGGAGATTGGGAGAAGATTTGATGGACCCTTCTGATGTATGTTTATGTGTGGCCCGAATCTCTCATTCCCCGGAATGATGCTGTTGTTCAATGTGGTTGGAGTTGAGTTGATCGTAAAATTGGATTGGAATATAGCCCTAGTTGGAGATAGGAAGATTTGTATGTCTTTGATCTTTTGAGTGCTGTAAAGGGGGGGATTGCTTTCAAAGCGTGAATAATTGCCCTGGATGGCAATCCATGAAGAATATGGAAACCCTAAGAATGAATGAACATTGTAGTTTAGTGCAGATAGCCAAAGCAACATCAGCATTCACCATGTGTACTTGTGGATGCAAGTAACTACAAGTGAGGATGTATTTAAAGGAAGACTAATGATAGGAGCCTCATACAGATTAAATTTTTTAAATTTTTTTTTGTGAAGAAGGGCCCGTATGTCATATGTTTTGTTTTAGGCGTTTTTTTTTTTGGTTAAAATAGAAATAATGTTTTTGCTGTAGGATTGTTTTGAAAAAAAATTGGAAAAAAATCGGAAGCATGATATTTTGCTGTGAAAATGTCAGAAATTGAAACATGCAAAATATGGTTTTGGGCCATGAACAGTTGTCAAAATTAAAAAAAAATAACTTTTCGGTGTTTTGGTTTTGGACTACTGTTCACATAGTGTTTTATCAGGGTGTAAAATAAAATAAGACTGCACTAAATATGTTTTTGTTGTCAAAATCGGTTCTGTAGTAGTTAAAAAATAAAAATCGTAGAAACAAAACACATGCCAAATAAGAAATGATATCATATTTAATGATATCATATTCTATTTACACAAATTAATTGTATATATTGGAAAGTCAAATAACTTATTATTATTCTTAAAAGAAACCACCACAGCTTTTTAAACTTTGCGTTGTCTTTAAAACTCGCTCTCAAAATCGAGACATGATGTTCAAATGAAAAACACTTTTAAAATTTGCTTTGAAAATTGAGACATGATGTTTAAATGAAAAACCCCTCACCCATTCAAATGGCCCGAAAATAGTTTCATCATACAAGAGTATAAATGTGTCAAAAATGGAACCGATTTTAATGGCAAAATTTTGGTACTTCATCATTAGTTGATTCATTAAGGATATCGGATACCGAATTTGAAATTTGGAAAATATATTTGAAACAAGTGTCTTGGAATTTCAGTAGTTGTTGGTTACTCTTTGGTAATCTGCTGCCTTCCTTTTATTTATTTATTTATTTATTATTATTATTATTATTATTATTTTTTTTTATCATAAGCATCACCAACAAACTAATAAAATTAATCATACACACCTCAATCAAACTAATAAAATTAATCATAAGACACCTCGATCACATTGATAGGTATTAGAGTGTAGCATGTATGTGATAAAATAAATTAATTCTATTCAAACAAAAAAATTGAAATCAATTACACTTATTCCGAAATTTATTTAATATATTTGAAATTAAATTAATAAAATTATAATATCATTAAATTACAGTCTCAATTCAATTCAAATACAAAATAAAAGAAAACCATAGAAATTGTATTATTATTTCAGAAGGTGTTAGGTTAATGGTTGATTAGAAATGGAATTTGCATAAAAACAATAAAACTAGTGAATGAAAATGTCTTTTGTTTTTATGGAATTGTTGAACGAGTATCATGTTCAGACTCTCACCTCTACGATATACACTTACCCTTAGGATTTATTAACTTCAAATGACAAACTCTAGTGTTTAAATAAGCTTCATCTTCTTAATAAACGGTCAAGATGAATAAAAATCAATAGTTAAGATTTACTCTTTAAAACATTCCTCAATAATATCCTATATATTTACCAACACTACAAAACTATCTACTCTTCCAAAATACTTTTCAACAACCAAATTTTACAACCTTTTAAAGTTCCTAGAATATTCAACTCTTTTCATACTTTACAATTCTCCACGTAACCTACCTTAGTGTGGAAGGCTCTAGAAGCCAACTCTATATATGATGATTGTGCAATCTTCCTGCATATATGTGTCACATGAGAGTTAGGCATGATTTGAAGTGAAAAAAAGAAACTGAAATTAAAAATTCAGTTTCAATTTCTTAATTTCCTAATTAGAACAACATGTCACAATCGATTTGTTGCAGCAACTCGCAACAATATAATTTTTTCATAGCGACAGATAAAGCACAACTGATTGAACATCCATAAATTCTGGTAGTTTAAATTATAATTGAACATCAACAAGTTTTAATAGCCTAATTCTAATTGAACGTCAACTGTTTTTTTACGTTTGTTGATGAAAATAACATAAACTCTATCTTATTTAGTTCATACTAAAACACTAAGACACTGTTCTTAATGACACGTTTGAAAATAGTAGAAGCCAACTCTTTGTAGTAATTGGCAGTTGTGGCAAAAGATTGTAATAGAATATTCAGGAATCCATTGAGGGAGGAAGTTAAAAAAGGGTGTGGGTAAATTTTTTATTTTGGTATTTTTTGCACTTGTTATGTTGTTTTAGTACGAGGGTATTTATTCATTTTGAACTCTGTATTCGCTATTTTTTTTAATTTTTATATTTTTTATCATTGTAGTGAAAATCTCTGCAATCCTTAGATGTAGTCCTGATTTTGAGTGAACTAAATAAAATTTGTGTTATTGTATATGTGTGTTTGATCTCTTTATTATGTTTCGTATTTAATATCTCTTTAGTTTATTCTAACATGGCTGAAGCTCTTGTTGCAAGGCAGTCTTTGAAGTGGGCAACTGAATGGAATTTGGTTAATGTAATTTTTGGAGGGGTTTGCTGGATTGTTTTAGGAAACTCAAGACAAATAGCTATGTTTAGGAAAGATTGGTTTGTTTGTTTGGGAGGGTTTGTATGGGCCTCTCACGAGCTTACCATTACTTGATTTGTAAATGAATTTACTTGCCTGCCGTGGTTTAGAGAAGAAAAACAAAAAAATTGGTGTTCAAGAAGGGCTTTGAGGTAAAAAAATAGTTTGAAAGTCTTACGCAATAATGTAAATATTATTTCATGTTTTTTAAACACAACATTGAGTGTAGATCAAACATGTTTTGGGGAAGACAATTCCCTCTTAAGAACAGTATATTATGTTTTCTTCCGTTCGGAATATTCTTTGTAAAAAAGGTTGGATACTTACAAAACATTCCAACATTTTTGTAAGGTGTATTTTAAAGTGAAACAACATGTCCTACTGTTTCACTCGAAAGAATTCGAGTCCTATATTTTGAATCTTGACTTTCCTCGAGACTAGAAGTGGCCTTGAGCTAAACCTAAATCTTGTCCAATTCAATTCCATAACCGTGTCCAATTCAAGTTCTAGTAACATATATCCATACATATATCAATTTCATAAGTTAAGAATTGATATGAGACATATGATTTGGGCCATGGCTTCAAGAGATTTTTTTTTGGCAGAAGTGGAATCCTTGCGACATCGATGCCAATGATTCAGTCATAGCTATTTATTCTTTATTTACTATGCTTTTTTATTTTTATTTTTATTTTTATTTTTATGATGAATTATAGGATCAAAACAAATAATTGACTCTTTTAAGGCGATGACAAGTTATTACACATATACTGTTTTAGTTCGACTTATTTTTAATCCACTTCCCTCTAATGTCTTTTATAAAAAAAATAATAATAATTTTGTTCATGAAGTTTCATTCAAATCGCTACCTTTTCAATTTCGAAGTGTTTCTTGTACAAGAGGGTTGATATGTAAGGCTGTGATAATCCGGATTTTTATTTAGACTTTAATTGATTACTTAATTTTTATTTTTATTTATTTAAATTTTTTTTTAAGACTTGTTTAATTTGTTTGGGAGAATTTATTCCATTATTGGAGATTTGGGTCTTGGTGAGATTTATTAGAGAGAAGAGTGATTAATGTGATTAGGGAAGGACTTTGATGTAACCTTGTTTTTAGGTTGGGGAGGCTAATATGATTTTTGGAGATTTGTTTTAGTGGATGCAATGTGGCAGTGAGTTGGTGCTGTTTGATAATACTGAAAATTAAGTAAAGAAAATTTTAAGAGCTGAATTTTAAGTACTGAAGTTTCTGAGTGGTAATAAAAAAATAAATATTTTTTTGTTATTTTTTAAAATTTTCAGCGTTCAGCATTCAGTGATAAATGATGTCTCTGTCACTTAGAATTTTACCTAATTTTAAGTGGTGTTTAGTGTTTTCAGTGATATTCAAATTACATTATCAAATGTACCTAATTAAATTAGTGCCTAATCTGTATAGAATTATGCACTAAATTAAGTTCTCAAACAGCACCGCAAAACACAAAACACGTCTCTCACATGCATTACTTCTTATCACCACTATACAACACCACACTTAGAGACTCACACAACACCATTCTTGTCCGCTATCCCGATTATGATTCCCCTACCCTCATAGGGAAAGGTCCTTCCCTTTTGGTTCGGTTGTGGGCGAGGAGGGATTCGAACACCTAACATTGTGGTTCGTAGCCATGTGCTCTAATCCTCTGAGCTATAGGCCCCATCCCGTTTCCAGTGGATTTGTTCTTGGGAGTACCCTAAAAAATAGGAACCTTTCCTCTCCCCAGCCATTTCGGGTTAAGAAGATATGAAATTGCTTTTCTTTCTATAAGAACGGTGTGTTCCGAGAT